AGTTTCAATAAGCTCCATTTCTTTAAATCTTTCTGTATTTTGCTCCAAGTCAAGTCATAATTATTCTTCAATAGTTGGCCATTCTTTGCTGTCAACCAAATCCCCAGGTACCTTAATTTTTTCACTATTTCCATTCCTGTAATCCTTGTAATTTCTTCTTGGTCTTCTTTCCCTATATTTTTAGTTAGTATTTTAGTTTTCCCTTTATTTATTTTGAGGCCTGCCACTTTCCCAAATTCTTGTATTTTTTCAATCCAGTTTTGTAAATTATTAATTGGGTCTTCCACTATTCCCAGTAAATCATCCGCAAAGGCTCTTATTTTATATTCGTATTTCCCGATTTTTACTCCTTTAACATTTGTATCTTCTCTTATTTTCATCATTAATGGTTCCAACGCCATTATAAAAATTAATGGGGATAACGGACATCCTTGTCTCGTTCCTTTTGTAATCTCAAATTCCTCTGATAATTGGCTGTTTATCCGAATTTTTGCCTTTTGTAGATCATAAATCGCATCAATTGCATTTATAAATTTAGCTCCCATATCCAATTCTTGAATCAATATCTTAAAGAAGTCCCAATTCAAATTATCAAACGCCTTCTCGGCATCAATTGATAAAATAGCCATTTCTTTCTGGTGGTTCGCCTCAAAATATTCAATCAAATCCAATACTGTGCGGATATTGTCTTTCATATATCTTCCGGGAAGGAACCCTGTTTGGTCCTCCCCTATCCAATCTTTCAAAAATTCTTTTAGTCTCGCCGCCAGTATATTCGTAAATATTTTATAGTCCACATTTAATAGGGAAATCGGTCTATAATTTTTGATATCTTCTGGGGCTGAACCTTCTTTGTGTATCATTACTATCTCAGCTTGATTCCAGGTTTCTGGGATTCTTTGGTGGTTTAATGCTTCGTTTAAGACTTTCTTTAACGTTGGTACCACAGTTTTTTTCATTGACTTGTAAAATCCTGCTGTAAATCCATCTGGTCCCGGAGCTTTATCTGCATCCATTTTATTAATTGCTCTTTCAATCTCTTCTTCCATAATTTCTTTATTCAATTTTTCTCTTATTTCCTCTGTAATTTTCTGCAATTTCAATTGGCCTATATATGCTGTAATATCATCCTTCTTTATTCCATCTT